TAAAATCCTACACCGCAAGTGCACGGGTCATGTTTGAGTAATAAAGTAGACCTTTTGAGTCCAAGTATCGTTCCGCAAAGATTGTATTAGTTTAAATTTAAATTATCTTCGCCTTAACCGAAACAATAGAAATTCATGATTTTTTGCTAACTAAATTATGATTTAATAACTTACTTATAAATATAAAACTTAAGTTAACTAAATTAATGCGTGAATATGACTAAATGCAAGTTTTATAAAAATATGATAAAGAAATGCGTACTAGGATCTCAAATCCCCTTATATCAATCACCTTTAACCCAAAATTTATAAAACTGACAGCACGATTCAATTATGAAGACTAATATTCCTAATTTGTTTAACAATCTCTCTCGAGTAGAATTAAACCTATTTTTAAATGTGACCCGACTATATTTCTATGACGAATACGAACATATAAAAATGTATTAAAGATTTATGAATACTTAAATATCATTAAAGTATAGCGGTATATTTCTATCTCTTATCGAACTTTACGACAATTGACACAATGTCTAACTTATTTTCCATCTCTCAAGGGTAAAATAAGCCACAAATCTCATACAACTATTACGCATATAATTGTAGAGAAAATAAAATCCATGTCAATCATTCAATAATTAAAAACATGTTTTAACGCCAAAATAAAATTCAAGATTAAAGGTTCATAATATAAGGTTCATCACAAATCCTAGCACAAAATAATTTAGCCGAGCAGAATGTTGAAATTAAACAACAAAGGATAAAAGATATCACCAAAAATCGACGAAACGTGATTAATACACGTATCAAAATTTCAGCCCAATTCCGTCTCCAAACTGTTCTCTTTTACCGTGTAGATGTATCCAATTCCGGGCTTGCATGCGTGTAAAATATGTATATATTTCCCCAGCAGCCGCCACTTGTAATCTAAATTCCAAAATCAATTCCAGCCGCCACTTTTTGTATACAATTCCAATCCTCAGCAGCTTGTGTTTTCTATGAATTTATATGGTTTATTCCAATCTTGTTGCCCAATGTTTGATTATCAAAAAGGCACTCCAATCCTCCTCCCACTTTCAGCTTTATGTGGGTATATATATGTGTGTTTAATTCAACTTTGTAGCCCACTAATTATCCCTCAGCAACAGGCCGACTTGTTCTTTTATTCTGACGTTTTGTGTCTTCAATTGAGCCTTCGGCGGACTTGTCCCTCTCTTGCGTTTTCTGTTGGTATGTATCTATCAATTGCAGCCCCTCTTTCTTCCTCAACTCGTTTTCTCCTTTTTAATTGCCCAAAGTTTTTCAAATTGCAAGTAATTTTAGCCCAAGTAAAATTTAAGCTGGCCAATTGATTTTATTTTTAACTGAGTCCAAGTTGAGGCCCAAATTAATTGCAATTTATCTTCCAATGCCTCACTTCATCATAATTAATGCAAGTTAGTCACTTTCTCCATTGTTTCCTAAATTTTGATCCTCCAACTTTTATCACGCGAGATTTAGTCCACAAACTTCACTTTAATGGCCAATTGATTATTTTCTTTTTCAATTGCTTCAAAACAGGTCTCTAACTAAAAACAAAAGAAAATTAATACAAGTTAGGTAAAAATTAATAATTTGACGACATAAAAGCCTAGTTATGTAATCCGATTAAGTGCATAAAATGCACTTATCAAAGAGTCGATCCCAATATTTCAAGTTTGTATCAATTGTGTTCCTGGTAGATGATTTTCCTTTACTGTAGCGTTAAAAGTCGATGTCATTTTTAAGAGAACAAAAAACAATTATACTCTATAATTCAATCAAAAAAACCAAAAAAAGGAAAAACAAAAGAAAAATCTTTTATTGTCTTATTCTCAACGAAAAAAGTAGCAAGTAGTGGAAACTAGAGGTGGAATATGAGAGAACCAAAGGGTTGGAGAGCGGAAAATTTACAAAATACCAAAAGGTTTCTTCCTCTATTGGTTCACTTCTAAAGAGCCTTACATTTAAGTTCCCAATGTCTCTATTTTGTTTCTTTCTAATTTAAGAAAATTTAGTGTAAAATAGTGCTAACTCATGATTTCACTACCATTTTCAACCGAAATTAAAGTAACCAAAGATTCCTAAAGATTATTTGCACAAAACGTCTTTACCTTTCAATGTTATTGTTAAAAACATTCATACATTTCATTTTTTGGCATTTTCAACCATTCACCTTTTATTGCAAAAATTATCATTTTCGTCAAATTTCTTATGTAAAATGACAAATATACCCATAAATTTTTTAAATTGCAATCATACTTCTAAACTTTTTAAAAAGTTCAAACGAATCCAAATAAATTATTAAAAGAATAATTAGCACAAAATGTCAACATCTTTCAATATTATTATGCAAAACGTCCCCACTTTTTATTTTTTTGACATTTTCACCCTCATTTCATATTTTATTGCAAAAATTGTTATTTTCTTCAATTTTTTTAATTAAAAGCTGTAAAATGACAAGTATACACTCCTCTTTAAATAAACAAGAATATTGAAAAGAAAAATAAAGAACAAATAGAAAATTATAACATAAATCATTTCAAATAATTAAAATTATTTGTATTTTTTTTGAAAAATTTGGGAGTATGTTGCAACATTCTTTATTTTTCTTTTCTTTATTTTTGCTTATTTAAAGAGGAATGTATATTTGTCATTTTATAACTTTTAATTGAGAAAAATAAATGAAAATAATGATTTTAGTAATGAAATATAAAATAAGGGTGAAAATGTTAAAAAATGAATGTATGGATGTTTTGCACAATAATAACGAAAAGTAGGGACATTTTATATTAATTACTCTTTTAATAATTTATTTGGAGTCATTTACACGTTTTTAAAAAAGTTTGGAAGTATGACTGTGATTTATTCTTTAATCTTTTTTCTTTTTATTGTTTTATTTAAATTGGGGTTATATTTATTATTTTATACGAAAAATTTGATGAAAAAAATTATATTCGTAATAAAAAGTGAAAGTATGGATGAAAATATAAAAAAATAAAGATGATGACGTTTTACACAATATTAAAGATAATGAGATTCTGTGCTAATTACCGATTCCCCAATGTTAAACCATCTTTAGAATGTGCGAATAAAATTTTTTGGCCTTTGATTCCACCCAATCATGACTAACTTTTGAAAGTAGAAAATCCTCAACCCTCGACCCTCTCATGGCTGAAGACACAGAGGATTTGGATATAAACAATCCACAGCGATATCCATCAGTAAGGTTTTCAAATTCCCCTTCTGTCTGTGTGTTTTGCGCTGCATATTTGTAATCTTTTATTATAGCACTCAAAAGATGGAATTTTAAAACAAAATTTAAGATGCCCACGTGAGATTTGTGCTGTATGTTATATCTAAATGTGTTGATAATGATTAATTTGCGTTGCACGTTTGAGTTTTGTAGTTTGTGGAAGTGATATGTAAGAGTTCCGGCAAGACCCGGCGGTTTGCGGCGGATACGGATGCGGGTTTCGCCGTGAATTTGATAAATAAGAAGCTTCATAGTGATGTTAGTGGTGGCGATGGTGGTAATATTCCGTTGGCATCCTATATTGAGGCAGTCAAAGAAGGGGAAGAAGAGGAACCCATTAGCTTTGGCCCTAGATCTGTTCTTGCAGACTATGGGCCCGGTTGGAGATTGCAAACTGTTGTTCAACAAAATGGTAGTGTGATGTGTATGCTCTCTCACTTGTCGTGCTCATGCTCTTAACCATGTCATCTTATTTGATTTGCTGTAGAAATTTCCTTATTTGATTTTTAACTTGACTTCTGATTAGATAACTAATCACAACTGAAAATTCTTCTGATTGTTTATGCGGTTTTCTTGTCATAGATGATGTGACTGGAGTACATGTTCGCCGTGCAAGAGCGCAGAAAGCAGATGCCAAGGTTCGAATCTTTTACGTGTATGAGTTTTTCTGGAATTTGTGATCAACTAGATATTAGAGGAGGGACGAGGAAAGTTCATGAATAGTAAGATCTGCTCTTAAGTATTAGCTAAGAAAGGCCAAGGGGTTTTAATTTATGCTATTGTTAGCTTATGTGAAAATGAAATTTTAGGTTTCTATGAACTTGTAATCCATAAACCATTAATTGAGGTTCCATAAACGATTGCGTAGATAAGAGTTAGATGTGAGAACTGAGAAGAAATAAGCAAAGAATTGATCTGGCACAGTTCCTCAATCATATGGATATGGTTGTAACTTTATATAGTTTGGCATGTGTAACTTTCTGTCTTTGATGATATGGGAGTTATATTCCCAGATTTTAACGTATTTTTTTGTGTATGGATGTCAAGAAAATTATCCTTTGTGAGACCATCACAAATATCAATTTTGATTCTTTGCCACAAGACATCTTCCTCAATAAAAGCATTCAACCAGTATATAGTTTTCCTAATAATGCCTTTGCTCTTAGTTCTTAATACTAAATAAAGGGCTCATGGAGGGTTAACAAGTTGAATTTGTGGCCAAAATGGATGAAATAGAACTAATATCCAATCGCAATCTTTTATAGTTGAATATTGACGTCTTGCTAAAATAGACTTTCTCAAGAACTAGCAAGTAGGAAAAGGACAAGAAATTAGCGTTAGAATACTCAATTTCCTAAATCTTCCATTGGAACCTGACTTTTTTTTTGAAAGGTATTTGAACCTGACTTGATTATTAGAAGTTTCTTGTCATCGTCTCATTAGCCCTATCAGCCCCAACAACGAAGAGGAAAAAGAAAAGAAAACAACAGTTGTATTGTTTGATACATGCTATGTTCTTGGTTCTATTTCATAGCATTTGATAGACAAGATTATTATCTGTACTAGGAATAAAAAGTTGCTGTCTTAAGCATTGAAACTTTCCTTGAAGTGTTCATCATTCCCCTATTTGAAATTTAGCCAAAAATACTGGGTGTGACTTAGCCCCTGTTTCGCCTCCGTTTCTTGATAATGAAAATGGGTGGAATAGTGTTTTTTTGAAAAATAAGTAGTTGAAAAAGGGGGAAAAGTTTTCGATTTACGTGCAATATTATTTTATGGATGATTGTATGGTTGAAAATAGGAGAGAGAAAATAAAATGTAATAGAATGTAATTTAATGGGGGCCAAACGAGGGCTGCTGACCTTTGAGTATAATCCTTGTTAGCAAATCTACTCTATCTTAGTATAGCATCAGTCATATAAAGTACAGTTTCAATTTGTAATTTCATAGACAAGTCGGGATGTGATTTACATTCAACCAGTATATAGTTTTCCTAATAATGCCTTTGCTCTTAGTTCTTAATACTAAATAAAGGGCTCATGGAGGGTTAACAAGTTGAATTTGTGGCCAAAATGGATGAAATAGAACTAATATCCAATCGCAATCTTTTATAGTTGAATATTGACGTCTTGCTAAAATAGACTTTCTCAAGAACTAGCAAGTAGGAAAAGGACAAGAAATTAGCGTTAGAATACTCAATTTCCTAAATCTTCCATTGGAACCTGACTTTTTTTTTGAAAGGTATTTGAACCTGACTTGATTATTAGAAGTTTCTTGTCATCGTCTCATTAGCCCTATCAGCCCCAACAACGAAGAGGAAAAAGAAAAGAAAACAACAGTTGTATTGTTTGATACATGCTATGTTCTTGGTTCTATTTCATAGCATTTGATAGACAAGATTATTATCTGTACTAGGAATAAAAAGTTGCTGTCTTAAGCATTGAAACTTTCCTTGAAGTGTTCATCATTCCCCTATTTGAAATTTAGCCAAAAATACTGGGTGTGACTTAGCCCCTGTTTCGCCTCCGTTTCTTGATAATGAAAATGGGTGGAATAGTGTTTTTTTGAAAAATAAGTAGTTGAAAAAGGGGGAAAAGTTTTCGATTTACGTGCAATATTATTTTATGGATGATTGTATGGTTGAAAATAGGAGAGAGAAAATAAAATGTAATAGAATGTAATTTAATGGGGGCCAAACGAGGGCTGCTGACCTTTGAGTATAATCCTTGTTAGCAAATCTACTCTATCTTAGTATAGCATCAGTCATATAAAGTACAGTTTCAATTTGTAATTTCATAGACAAGTCGGGATGTGATTTAAAAAACCTCGACATCACAAGTTAGAATAATGTCCTCTCTTACTTTTTCCCCCAAGCTTTATTTTCTTGACCGAAGCCAATTAGTATAGCTTTATGATATTTCGTAGTTGCACAAAATATTGGCCTAATGAAAAAGTGGCACCTTTGCAGGGTGTTGATGAATCACATTCCATGAAGGGAGCATCACAATCGGCTCTGAATTTTCTGTACGTTGGCAAGATATTGTTTGCTTTTCTTCTATTATTTGTGTTTGGTGCCATTTTCACGTTACTTTTGGAAAACCTTCCACAGTTTATCTTGTATATCAACTCATCAGTATGATTATGGTGTATTTGACATGTACTTTTGAATCCAAGTTTGTACATTAGTTCATATTCTGTAGATTATCATTTCTACCTTCTATAGTTTGCCTAATTGTATAACAGCACGACTCTTCACTTGAAAGCATCTTAAAATGTACATTTTGAATACACGACTCTTTATATCAAGTTGGTTCAGAATTTCATCTAGGAAATACTCAAGTAAAATTAATCCAGGAGAATAATATTAAACGTGTTGAACAAATATAATTCACAATAAATAAATAATACTAAAGACTGTAAATACTCATACTTTAACTATACCTTATCGTACTCAGTGGGAGCGGAAAATGAATTAACAAGTTAAGAAACACGTGTAATTCTATGTCGCTTGATAACTCTTCTTCAATAACATCAAAAGACATACTTTCTATAATATTTACAAACCTGGTGGATCTAGGTTAAAGCTTTCCAACGTAATAGGAAACTATTAAATCTCTTCCCACCCCTCCCTGTACAGAGAGGAGGAGGTTAGTGCACCTCTAGGCTGTTTGATATACTCCAATCAATGCCGTCTCTACTAGTTTCGATGCCAATTAAAGAAATTAATCCCACTGCTGCTATCTGCAACATTTTCATCTGTTGAATCTGACCCACTTCCAGTTGGCTCGTCAGAACTATCATCCGGGAGGACTTGGATCCTATCAGAGTGTTTGATCATCCAGTCAGTGAATTCAGGAGAAGATGCCCACTCCGTGACTGCCTGCCGAGTAGATTCCTCTTTGAAATCCTTCCATTCTTCCTTGGGGAATTTTTTTCTGATAGGTGTCTTGTGAAAAGTTGAATAATAGTCCCGGTGATTTCTTGATCCCATCTGACTAGAGGTTGACAGTATACCTGGAGCTACAAAAATCAAGCATTCTTTTTATTGGTAATATAATTTTATTAAGCAAAAAGAGGCCGATTCAAGTACAAGATAACTATCATTAGGACATTTAGACATCTAACCTAAAGGCAATAATTCAATGGCAAAAGTAGCGCTCCACCACCTGAGCTATATTTTCCCGATGTGTTCCACCAAAATAGATAAAAAAAACTCAACTGTATTTTCTAAACTCTCCAATAAATCCATCCCAGATAAATTTCTGAGGCAGAAAGAAAGGAAAAGGCTGATGTTTACTAAAACTACAGTGCATTAAAAAATTTCAATAAAATTTAGATTAAAACAGCTTTTCGTTGCCTTATTAAGGACGTTAATATAATGTCCTTTCCCATCATTTGACATGTCTACCCTAGTAGCCATTTGGCCAAGCATGAAAATGTTACTGAGTATAGTTATATTTTACTCAAAAATGACTTGCTACAAGTAATAGTACAGATTTTGGAAGTACACATACCTCCAAACGCCTGAGGCGAAAAGTTGTGGCAGTTACAGTTTTTGCAGTCTCTTTAATATGTTATCTTTCGTATAAGGAAAATAATACTACAGCACCATATTATTCATACAGGAGGTGTTTGCTACGCTTGGACATACACCACATAAATATATGGCCACTAATATATTTTGGTGTAAACTATGAAAGAGCGTAGAAAAGGAGAAAAGGGAACATCCAACATGTACCTTTAACTGGTGAATCATAGCATGCAGATGGACTCATGGGGATATTCGATAGAGCTCCTCGAGTTTTCATTGCTCCAGACCTGCTTAAGAACTCTGCACGTTGCTTACGGTTCTTGTTTGCTCTTTCATTACTCCATGACCATGAGCTCCTGTTTCCAGAATATGTAAATTCCCTGCACCAGAACAAACAAATATTTTTAAAAATCAAACTCATTTTCTACCAACACAGATAATATTATTACTTTTGACAGCAAATAACTCTCTTCAAAGTTGAATCTTTTCCATGACTATCTCGTTTAATCGAGTTTATTTCCTCCTCATTAACACCATTAACAACATGATGCAAAGACTATTTTGATCATACACTGCAAGATAGTAAAATGTCCATGAAATGCATAGTAAAACGTCCGTGAAATGCCTCATCTAAGTTCACTAATAGTACAAGTAAACTGCAATTTTCAGAAACCATTAACCATCTTATAATTTTCTCAACAGTACAAGTAGCAAACATCGGTTGGTTGAGTGAGATCAAGTGAAAATATAAAGGGAATACAAATTACTTGTGTCAAGACACAAAAAGGGTGATGAATAGAAACCATAGGGGCTTACCTTGGGCGAGGCCACTTCATGGATGTAATAGAGTAGTAAGTTGCAAAAGAACAACCAAGTAGCACCACCGCCAAAGTAGTATCACATGTGCTCTAGCATTGAATGTCACGAAAGTAAATTAGTCAAAACAATAGAAACCACAAAAAAAATAAAAATAAAAATAAAAATGTATCCATGTAAAAGATATAGCCTCTGTTTGGCATGGATTAACGATAAATTTTTAATAGATTTTGATAAAAGTTGATGAGATGTATGGTTAAAAAGTTGTGAGTCTCATAAAATATGTAATTAAAATTAATTGTAGAATTCTGTTTAGATTAAAATCTGAATTTTAATTTTCATCAAACAGGGGCATAATCTGCAAGTCAAAAAAAAATCAATAGCAAAAGCACAAACTAAAAGTTCACCGGAAGTAAATGAAAAATGACATTTAATCCCATTAATAATTTTTACAAA